CGAACAGCCATTCTTATCACCTTCTCCCCGTAACCAAATTGGCCGGGTGGTGCCCTCATCCTAAGTCGTATTTTGCAAGAAAGACGAAGGAAAAAAACAAAACAAACAAACAAAAAAACAAGGAAGCAAAAGTAACAAACCATCGCCTGCTAGCAATTATTAACAGTGTTAATCACTCGCACACACAGAGAGCTTGAACACCTTGCCATGGTGTAGTGGTTTCTAGTAAGTTAGCAACCTGGTCTCGTGGATAATTAGTGGAGTGATTTCGACCCTCACTGGGCTTCACATCTTCGTGGCCTTGTGCGGTTAGCTCAGTAGTTTACAATATAAATGAATATAAATAAACACCACGGACAGGTCAATATCGGCGTTAGGAACAAAAACCGATGGAGTTGTATAGTAAGCACTGCGACCAGAATTAATAATTTTTAATTCATTTTTTGTTATCTTATTTTATTTTTTCATATTTATTTCAAAATAGAGGGGAGTGGGCCAATTATACTCTAAAGTCTGGAATAAAAAGGTAGGTTGGAATAAAAAGGATAGGTTTGAAAATTATTTGCTTTCGGAACAAAAAAATAATAGAGAGATGATATTTGAATAAACAGACAGGTTGTAAAAAAAAGTATAAAATAAGCGAGGGATCTGGAACAACAGTTTGATTTTTTCCCAGCCTACCGTTGGGGAAAAAAAAATCAAAATTTAACTGTTCACGTTCATCTATTTCTATTTTTTTTTTTTTTTTTTTTTTTTACAGTGAGGTTCACCCTGTACAAGATCCGGGAGCTACTCGAGGTAGAGGGCTACAGAGTAAGAGGCGCAGTTTATGAAGATATGTGGGGAAGATAATAATAAAAACAACAACAATAATAATAATAATAACAACACTGATGATGATGATGATGATGACTAAGGTTACTTAGACTTGAACAGGTTAAGATTGTAGTGATTGGGAAAACAATTTCTTGGGAATCGTAGCATGGGTATGAAGGTTAGAACTGGTGGAACTACATTACTAATTGAAAACCTACGGAGTTTGTTTTAGTTACAGTAACTTGTGACTTGTGACTTTTACGTACATAAGATAAGTACACAGACGACAATGCGTGGGAAACTCAGTTTCGTTTAAAAGATCTCTCTCTCCCTCTCCTCTCTCTCTCTCCTCTCTCTCTCTCTCCCCCCTCTCACACACACACACACACACACACATTGAATAAAAATTATATACAAAAACATAGACTATCTCTTTGCCATGGAAACTACACATAAAATTCAAAGTGGTTCTTTGCAAACCTTAAGAAGAAACATGAAATACACATTTTTTTAAACACTACTCTCTTCAGCACTTAAGAAAACCTGGTCATGTGTGTAAACTCAGCTTACATCGAGTAGCAAAAACAGAAACTAATCTCCGTTGTAGACACATTATTATTTTTTTAATACAAGATTCGTCTATTTTAATAATGACAAGACAACAGTGTACAGACGCAGTAAGTAAATGAGATATATAACTCCTGGCGCGCCCCGCCGTGAATCAGTGGTTATTCCCACAGGTAACTTAAGTTAGTCTCACTGCGAACTCGGCACGTAAGGCCTTGTAGCAGTCTAAGGTAAGCTTACTTATACTACTTCATGAGCTCAAACCACCCCACATAAATGTAGATACTTTCTTTCACCTATTTTTTAACACTTTACAAAGAGCATAGCACGTTTGAGCATGTGGGGAGGATGCTGGCGTGTATGTGTGAGAAAGAAAGAAAGAAAGAAAGAAAGAAAGAAAGAAAGATTTACTATAACTGGATAGATTAAGGATTGGAGTATGTCGAGGTGCTTGTAGATGTAGCTATACTTAAAGATATAAATATAGCAGACAGACAAGGGTGGGGTATAAAGGATCGTTCGTCATGACGGTCACACACACACACACACACACACACACACACAGAGAGAGAGAGAGAGAGAGAGAGAGAGAGAGAGAGAGAATCCCAGTCCCAGTTGATTTCGTTTCCTTGATGAAGTGTAACTTTTCATTTTTATATCTCTCTCCTTTTCTTTCTATTATTGTAACTTCTCTTCATTTTTATCTTTTTCTCTCTTTCCATTATTATTATTATTATTATTATTATTATTATTATTATTATTTTGATTTGATTTCTGTTGTATACACATTTCCTTTCGGGTCAAAACCAGAGACCTAAGGCTAGAAATTGCTCCGTGATAATTTCCACAGATCAAAAAAAAAAAAACAAAAAAAACCCAAGATCACACAAATTTTGCAATTTTACGTAATTTGTAAACTGTAATTGTAAGTACAATTTTTTTTTTTTTATTTCTTTAAGACAATCTCAGGGCTCCAGCTACAACTGAAATTATTGATGTCCCCATGTGCCACATTTTGAAGATCCTTGTATTTGAGAGTTTTCTGAAGATCTTCAAAGATACATTACATTAATCTGCAAGTACTGCCATGTCAATAAGAAAGTACATTATTATTATTATTATTATTATTATTATTTACTTTTATTTCTGTTATATACACATTTTCTTCCTGCTCCCAACCAGAGATCTAAGGTCAGAAATGACTGCATGACATTTTTCACTGATCATTTAAAAAAAACAAAGATCACGTTATTATTATTATTATTATCTCTCAGTAGTTTCGATTTTGTGCTTCGTGCATATCTACCAGTGTATATCTGTCGCTACCGTGTTATGTCTGTGGGTATATTGTATTTGGACATTTTCTCAATTATTATTATTATTATTATTATTATTATTATTATTATTATTTCTTTAGTGTTGAAGGTATTTTTCTCCCCAAAATAGCCTCTCAAGATGAAATTATTTTTTAAGGAACCAACTATTAAACAAGGTCACAAAAGAGACACAAAATATTTTAAATGTGCAATTAAGAAAGGAATAAAAAATGAAGACATTTCGTGGCTAAAACTAATAGAACAGCATCTGAAAACATCCACCATTTACAGATTACCAACAGTTAAAGTACATAAACCAAGTATTCAATAGGAGTAGATGGGTTTGCCTATCATCCGGTTCACACTCCTCCTCGGTCTTTTGAACAGGAGTAGAGGTCTATCTCTTGTTTATTGTTTAGGATTGGGTTTCTGGTTCCATCTAAAAACTGTTTTCCTTTCATTTCCGGTGGCGTCTTGGTGGTATTGTCACCTTGCTCAGATGGTTACTCTGTAACCCACTACCTCGAGTGGCTATTGAGCCTTGTACAGAGTGAACATTATTGTAAAAAATTCCTCCGAGTCTCATTATACCAGGAATAAACCCATATAAACTGACCGACACACTAGCCAAAATTTTAACTCGGTATAATTACTTCGTCAGAAATAAAAAAAAAAAAACTCAGATGTTATTGGCGCGTGCACACACACACACACACACACACACACACACACACACATATATATATATATATATATATATATATATATATATATATATATATGGTGGATTCTCCCGTCATATTCGACGTATGAGGGTCAAGCAGCTCCGTTCCTAGGAACCGACAGCCAGACGCCAGCACAATATGATTTGATTTATAGTGGTGAAAGCTTTGTGCAGAACCAACCATACTTTTTCAAGGGCCGAATACAGAGACCTGGTGCACTACGTGCCACAAGGTCCCCAAATGACCCTCCGCAGGTTTTGAATTCAGAGTTGTCCTTCTCCTAGATCAGTTGCCATCCAAGGCTATAGAACCCAGTCTGTCCTGCTATTTACCCATAGCTGGAGGGAGAAGAAGAGGATTAATAACTTTCCCAAGGGTATTAGCACGTAAGTGAATGTAATGGCTCTCCGATTTCTCAATCCGTGCCACTATCTACTACTCCTCCGTGATATATATATATATATATATATATATATATATATCCTATAAAGTAATTTCTAAAGATTTATTTTTAATCCGACATTTTTATTACAACGGACGTTTATAATAATGTTTGAAGTAATAATAATCTGTAAAGTGTGTATGTATGTATGTATGTATATTTTATGTACATGTGGGCACGTGGCCAAGTTCGCTTTCTGACCATGAGTCACGGGTTCGAATCTCACTATGATCGATTTGTCAGGAAGGTGACTTCTTGATATGATCAGTCTGGGAGAGGCGATCCCAGCGTGCGGCACAATTGGAAAGTGCCTGAAAACCATACCACGGGTTAGACCCAAGGTGGAAATTCTTGGGAGCCGTCGATGGTTGTGCAAGACATCGTGACCGACGGTTTGAGCGTGCTGGCCTTGTTCAGACTGTTGATCACGCTAGATAACGCGCTCTCTCCCAGAAACTGTAACGAAGGTTCACTCAGTGCAGGGAAAGGGATTGGCTAGTGTGTTTATGCGTGTGTGTGTGTTTGTGTGTGCGTGCGTGCGTACGTGCGTGTTCAGATGGAGAATTAGAAGGTATTTACAAAAAAAAAAAAATCAAGTTTGACATAAAGTCACAGTACTGAGGATTGAACCCGCTACCATTGACTTGTGGGACCAGGTTGTTATCCATTGGGCTAACCAAAGGAAATTTCGGGTGGCGCTAACAAACCAAATCTACTTACGAATTTTTGTTGACATCTTTTGTAGGCAATTGCGGTTGGCTCACAAAAAAGGATTACATCGAAGAAGACGATAGAAACAATGCTTTACTTAGTATGAAATAATTTTTTATGGTCAGATTTCTTGAACCTTTGGCTTACGTACCATACGAGAAAAAGATTATCTTTATAACTCAATTATTTTCGAGTTGACATTATTACAAGCTATAATAATGTTGCAAATTTTAAGTAAAATGATAAATTGAAATTATTAATTAATCTATACATAATTATAATTTCATGTCTAAAACTTTGAGATTACTTATTAACATATTCAACATTGTTCGGCCGCTCAAATCGCTTCTTTTTATAGTCGCCATTGTTAAGTTTATAACTTTGAGAAGACTCATTAACATATCCAACATTCTTTGGACGAGTTTACGACCATATCCCGTTTAAACACCGGTTCTCGTACGATTACCAGTGTTAAGCAAGGTCGAGCCTGGGCACTACATAGATGGGTGACTGCTTGGGAAGACCTAGCTTGGATTTGCGGGTGGTGTAATGGATAACGGCTTGGAATTGGAAATCGGACACTCGAGTTCTTTATATTCACTTACACGCAAATGTCCCTGGGGAGAAACGTATTAATCCACATCTTCTTCGGACCTGTGTCAATAAATCATTATTATCTAAAAAAATGAAAAAGAAAAAATTTCTTACAATCTAAAAATATTTTTTGGCTTCAAATAACCTGCAAAAGGTTGATAAGTCGTAAAAAATAAAGAAATCAATTGTTTGGGCGCTAGCGTATTTTTTGTCGAGTTTTAGAGCTTCAGTCAATCTATTCTTTATTCTTAGTCAGATGTGAATAGATTGGTTTGTTTTATTTTACGGTATATCAACCATAATGGGTTATTTAATGCCAACAAGATTTTTATTGCTAGTAATATTTTTTTTCAAAAATGTAATTTAAAAAAAAAAAAATTCACCCCAAGCAAGGCAGGAGTGCCACTAGCAAGCAAGGGTTTACAGAGTATTGAAAACAAGAGTAAAGAGGCCTGTTTGAGGAAAGGATACCGCGAAGGACGGAGAACAAGATCAAGGTATCAGATGTTGATTGATATTACACTTGAATATTTGAAGATTATAGTCAACGGGGAAACAAGTAAAGGGAAGGGAGTTCCACAGACGGGAATTGCGAGAGAAGAAGCTGTTTGAGTCGAAGAGACGGTCACATTTAGCCGTTTCGACAGTGAAAGGGTGGGACCGAGATGCCAGCCTAGTAGCTCGCTTAAATTCATGCAGTCTGGGAACCAGCGAAAGTAGCTCGTCGGAACAGTTGCCGTGAAAATACTTGTAGAAGAGACAGAGGGAAGCCACGGCATGTCTGTGAGAAAGCGACTGCAGACTTGATGCCAGACCAGGACCTATCACATTGCATATTCTTCTTTCCAATTTTTTTTTCAAAAATGTAATGCTGGTATTGCAACCTATATTTATATTTTCATAGTATTTTGACCCCAGTTTGTGGGTTAAATATTTGTCTATACCTGGGAGCCCGGGTCAGGGTGGAACCGGGAGCATTAGCAATTAAGAGGTGGTTCCACACTCCTCAAATCCTCCTGATCAGAGGCCTTGCTACCGGATGTAGTTTATCGTCATATCTAAGACGCGGGTGTAGCTTATCGTCATACCCAGGACACCTAGTCAAATGTAATCCGTGAGAGAAATAAAACTTTACTACAAAAGCCATTTTCTCCATCTCCAGAGCCCTATTTCTACCTCACATAATATTAACTATTTTGGAAAGGAGTTTACTTTTGAGATTCAAGTTTGGTAGCGTCAATGTTTCTTTTAATGTTTCTTTTCTTTTGTTTGTGACAATTTATTTGCTTGTTTCTACTGTATACTTAGTCTGTAGTAGTTTTCGTTCGATTTTCCTTTACGAATCGATTGGCTCAATTCGTAAAAGGGATTGAAATCTATCAAATAAATTTTTGGTTTCTTTTATGCGGTCGGGGTGAGTGCTTTTTTCTTTCACAGGATCTTGTATGGAAACGAAAGGGTGTGGTTACTTTCAAGTTGATTAGTGGTGTGGAGCCTGTTTGTTGTTGTTTTCGGTCAGTACCCAAACGGAGCCGCTAATTCACAATGGACCAATCTCACCACACGTCTCTGTCAAGAGAGAAGTGGGCGACAAATTGTTCGATTTTCTCTTGTTTACATATAGGCAGGTGTGTATGTTTGTGATGTGTAGGGAGTTGATCGTATTTAAATCGTCTTTCATACTTCGACTCATTGTCAAACTTTGCAATGTGGCTATGATGTGTTTGTAGGGTGTGTCGATTTTGTTGGTCACTGACATTTTCGACTCATCGTATTGGTCAGGGTTTTACAGACGATACCAACGTCAGCGTGGTAAATCAAAGAAAGGGAAAGATATAGGAAAGACGAAGACCGGGAGATGCTCAGACCTCATTCTCCAACATTGAGTCCAAAAACGTCTCCGAGCCCTTGTGGGTGACGAATTAATCTCCACCCTTCAACCTCTCTCCCACAGGCGGGATATAGCAAGTCTCTCGCTGCTCTACCACTACTTCTACGGAAAGTGCTCGGACGAACTACATTCCCCTGTCCCGCCATTTCAAATACAAATACTTCAACCTTGCATATAAGAGCACTGAGATATTTTTTATCCACATCTTGAGAGAAAACAAAAAGGCGGGAATATAATATGCCGTCAACTACGCCGGGTTGCCTTGTGAATAAAGTTGAATTTTATTTTATTTCTTCTATAATGATTTCTGTTAATGACTTTTTGATAAAAAAAAAACATAAATTTGTGTATGAAGATTGGGCAGCGTCAATTAGGCAAATCCTGACGGATCTGAAATTCAACGTTCGAAATATTGGCATTTATCTAGACACGCATCTGCAAAAATACAAATCTTTTTTTAATCTTTTTTTTTTTTTACTAAATGTTCATCCAATATAAGGCCCAAGAGTCGCTTAGGGTAGAGGTTTATCGAACGAAATTGTTGCATGGACGAAAAAGTAGGAAGTAAGTAGGGATTATGAGTAGGATAGATAACTTTTGACCTAGACTTGAATAGGTTAAGATTGCAGTGATCGGGAAGCGTCCTCTCAGGATTCTGTTCTTCAAAGTAGCTGTTCCCGAGAAGATTCTGAGTCGAACTTCTTTCTTACAAAATTGAATTCAAAGGGAAAAAGGGAATGAGGATGATTCGACCCTGTGTACGTGACATAGCGAGTTTTAGCTTTTATGGTCAGAATTGGTGGAACTAAGTAATGTAGATAGTCTGAACATTTGACAGGAAAATGGCGATAGAGTAGCGAGTGGCTTCACAAAGCAATACGCTGTTTGTTTTTATTTATATATTTTTAAACTTAGTTTCGTATGACACAGAATCAAGTGAAGAAGCAGTGTGGCTGAGAAGTATAAAGATTCTGTTGCGCCAATCTTTTCAATTTTTGCCTCTCTCGAAAATTATCAACTCGGATACTATCTCGAACTCTTCCCTTTGGCGCTGATAGGAAATACAGAACGACCTCAGCTAAGAAACAGACGAGATACCTGGAGATAAAAATAGATGAGATATCCCTAGATAAGAAATAGACAGGATGTTCCTAGATAAGAACAAGACGAGATATCCCTAAATAAGAAATAGACGAGTTATCCTTAGATAAAAAAAAAACAAACGGTATGAACGAGGGGAGATATCCATGTCTAAAAAAATAACAAATGAGATATCCCTAGATAAAAAAATTTCACAAGATATCCCTAGATAAGAAATAGATATGATATCCCTAGATAAGATGAGATATCTCTAGATAAGAACGAGGCGAGATATCCATGTATAAAAAATAACAATTGAGATATCCCTAGATAAAAATCTCACAAGATATCCCTAGATAAGAAATGGATATGATATCCATCCCTAGATAAGATCAAGACGAGATATCCCTAGATAAGAACAAGACGAAATATCCCTAGACGAGATAAGAAATCGGAGAGATATCCCTAGATAAGAAACAGACGCGATATCCGTAGACACAAATAGATGAGATATCCCTAAATAAGATCAAGACGAGATATCCCTTGATAAGAACGGGGCGAGCTATCTCTAGATAAGAAATAGATGAGATATCCCTGATCAGCGAAACGAGAACAATATATCCCCATAGATTAAATAAAGGGTTTAGTTCGAAATTCTCTGAAGGTTACCTGGATCGACAAACATCTGATGAATGCCGAGAGGCATAACAGTCGAAAGTTGTGAGCAACAACAAAAATGAGGGCGTATGTAAATAGTGAGATTCGTTTTAAAATTTTCGTATAAAATAAAAGATCTGAAAATAAAAATATTGCCAGTTTCCAGGAATATATTTTCTATCGAAAATGCATCTAATCAATCAATTAGAACGATATCTTTATATACTCTAGTCGATGGTTCTGTTTATTTTGTATCTAAATATACCCACTATTTACATTATTCGGACTATTGTCCTCATCTTTGTCACTGGATCAAACTAACGTCTTTATCCACTGTGCCATGTGTCCTTGAGGACATCTATGTATGAATTTCTGGGTATTATAAACCTAATGTCATCAGCAACCATTTTTTAGCAGGCGTTAGTTAGATCCAGTGACAGGACCCAAAGAGTGTGAGTTCAATACCCGGTTAAGGCAGTGGAGAACTTGGGGAGGGAAATTAACAGGAGATAACTGTTAACTAACATCCATTAAACATGGCACGTGGAACTAGAATAATCTACCCCAGTGAGCGAAATAAAGAGTTCAGTTCGACATTCCAACCACCTGAAGAAGGCTGGAGATAACAACGGCCGAAACGTTGTAATAAACATGGCGACAAAGATGAGGACAATTGTCCGAATAAGGTAAATAGTGTACATAATACCTCATCTCAGAAATATAGACAAATACTAAATATACCCGTATACTAGGGAGGCTAGCTAATCCCCGTTGCAGGCTCCTGCTCAGGAACATTTTTGTTTGTTCAACACTCATAGAGCCAACCTGTGATTTATACTGCAGCTATTCTGAGCGAACCTTAGTTACAGTTTCTGGGAGAGTGCGTGATCAACATTTTGAACAAGGTCAGAACGCTCAAACCCTCCGTCACGATGACTTGTGACTTCGAACTAGCATAACCATCCACAGCTTCCAAAGGGTGCCGTTTACCCAATTCCACTCACAAGGCTTGGGTCAACTTGTGGTATGGCTTTCAAGCATTTTCCAAAGGTGCTGCACGCTAGGATCGCCTCCTCCATACTGATAACATCAAGAAGTTACCTACCTGACAAATCGACCATGGTGAGATTCGAACCCGGGTCTCATGGTCAGAAAGCTAACGTTCTAACCACGTACTCATAATTTTTGTTATAATTTACTCTATATAGATATTCACAAAGAAAACGCCCATTCTTATAGTAACTTTCCTGTTAACCTGAACATTAACTAACCTTGCTTTTTCTTACTGTTCGTAATCGATCCCCGCTGACTGATTCAAATGAAACAAAGACTGAATAGATTTTAGCTAACCCCAACCTAAACCTTTCTCTAAAATAGACCGAAGATAATCCCAAGACAATTTCAAATCAAAGTCCCGTGACTTTCATGAGTGACAATCGGAATATGTGGGAATAACAGTCTTTTTCTTTTACTGGTGACTAGACGATAAGGTAAGCTAAAAAAGACGAGATATTTTTGTCACGATGTCTGACGGCGAGACAAAGTACAGAAATGTAGAGTCATAATTCTCTCAAGGGCATTGGTGCCAGTTAACAAAAGCTGTCGCGGTCGAAGTTCGAACTCACTTCACTGATTCTGTTTTTTACGCTGATAAACATTGCTCTCTAGCAATTGGTACACACACACACACACACACACACACATATATATATATATATATATATATATATATATATATATATATATATATATATATATATATATATATATATATATATATATATATATATATATAAGTTAGGGAAATGCGGATTCATGCTTTTCTTAAGGGCCTTAGTGCTAAATAAACACCAGCAACTACGGTTGAAATTCGAACACACTTCACAGATTCTTTTTTCTATACTGATAGCTATTACATTACCTTTCACCTCCATTTAGTAAAAATATAGAATGCACATGTGGGTTCATGCCTTTCATAAAAATATGAGTGCAGTCACAGCCGAAATTCGAGCTTATTTTGACGATTCCGTCTTAATAAATGTTTTTTTAGTGCCAATTTAGTAAATCAGGGAAATGTGGGTTCATGCCTTTCATAAGAGTGAAATTCGAGCTCATTTTGCCGCTTCCGTGTTGATGATTTTTTTTTTTGCCAATTTAGTAACTAATGCAGGGAGATGTGGGTTCATGCTTTTCATAAGAGTATGATTGCAGTTTCAGCTGATTTTGCCGATTAGGTCTTGATAAATGTTTTTTTTTTATGCCATGTCTCTTCAGGATCATGGCTTTCCACAGTTTCCTTTTCTTTAATATATCCATGACTGTTCTCAGGAAAAAGTTGCGGAGTGGTTTCCTGTAACCTTCTTCTAGTCTGGTTGCCCTAGCAAGGGCAAAAGAGCCCTGTCTGTTTTACAATTATTAATTTTGCATATAGCTGCAAGTCATGTGAATTCCTGCTTTTCCCAAGGGCATTAGTGCGGATTGAAAACAACAGGCTCTTCCGGATTTTGAACTCGGCTCACCGATTTCATTCTATTTTGAGTTGGTGACTTTTTTTTTTCTTTTTTTTTTTGTCAACCTCATATCGGCCCAAAGTAATGAATAACGTTAAATAAGGGATGTGTTCTTTTTTTCTTTCTTTCGAACTGTAATTAAAAAAAAAAAAATCAATTCTGATAACGTTTCATCTGCAAAAAGGAATCACTTTTTTGTCCCACAACTTTATTCGTCTGTTTATAAAGTTATTTACTCTTTTTCATCCGTTTCTCTCGTTCTCTCTTTCCCTTTTCATTCCCCCCCACTCCCTACCATTGCAATTTAATCGTTTTCTTTAACTTCGATCCTGCTTTTTCTGTTCAACCTTTTCGATTTTTATCTCTCTTTTTTCTTTTTTCTTTTTTATATTTTAATTCATTTTCTTTAACTTTCTTCCTTTTTTTTGTCTTCATCCTCTTTCTATCTTCTTTTATTTTTCTTTTCTTTCACCTTCTCTCGCCCTTTTACTATTTCTCTTTCACCTACCTCTCCCATATTTTCCCCGCTCATACCTTCTTTTATTATTTTGGCTATCGCACCTTATGCATTACATACACAGGCGCGCATGCGCCCCCCCCCCACACACTTGTTAACGTCTCCAAAATAAGAATTACGCCTAAAATTAATTATTGCGCAAGAGACTTGCACAGAATCGCCCTCATTGTCCTGACATTTCCTTTTATATCTTTCTGTTCTTAAGTGCCTAATACAAGGGATGTCTTAATAATTGGGGTGTGGCAGAATATTTCTCAATATGCTATAAACGGTAGGGACTTAATAGAAGTGGGGTGTCGAACAATTACTTAAAGTGTAAAAAAGTGCGAAATTAATAAACGTGGGGGTCTTGACAAGAGGACTGACGATAGGACAAAGGTAATGAAGTTTCATGCCTGTTTTTAAGGATTAGTAAGAAATTATATGTGCATTTGGCAAATGAAATTTGAATTATGTTTTTCTAATAAATTATTCGTTGAACAAATTTGAACTTCTTTGTAGACATACACACTTGTTTAAAGAAATGCACTCAAAACTGATTATTGCGGTTGAGATTTACGCAGGATCGCCCTCATTCACCTCAGCCCTTCGCCATTATATCCGCCCATTGATAAGACTACACGAGGTTGAATCAATAAATCTGTAACGAGAGAGACTATGTTGTAAAATAAACA